AAGTATCTTATACATATTATATATTCAATTCTTAAAGTTCTTAATCAGTCATCGAAAATGATATAATTAGTAAACAAAACAAAAAGATTGAAGTATCTTCAAGTTTTTAGTAAATATTGTAGCGATCGAGAAATTGGGAGAATTTTTATAGAAAATAAAGGATTTTTTCTTTAAAAACTTTACCTAGTAACTTAATATTACCAAGTTATCAATTGTGCGACTAGTTCAATGATTAAAACGAAAGCACCAAACAACTCCAACTTCCATTGTGTACTTTTCTTAGTAATATTGTACGAACAAACAATTGAAAAAAGGATTAATTTCTCAAGTTTATGATACAAACAATCACACTAGATGTCCCACCTATTAAAATATTCTAAGATTTTAAATCATGATTATATAATTTATTTCATCAAGAAAATAAGAATAAAGAAAAAGTTTGATATCCTTAAAAAATAAGAATAAAGAAAAAGTTGCAAATCCCATCGTATGACACGTATATAATTATCATCATTTCCTTAAAGCATTACCTAATTAAAATATTCATTTTGCCCCTCTTTTTCCCTGCCAAGCATCCCAAAACAAGATATTAAAGTCTAAAGTACAATCAAAAGTTTTATTTCTTCATAAATGTGAAAATAAATAGGGAATATGTGAAGTTGAAAAAAAAAAGTTCATCATTTGGATATAAATTTATAAATCCAATCAAAATTTAAAAAAAATTAATTTCAATTATATATTCTTAAGTACTACTTATTTACACATTTCGTGAGACACATTACTATGTATACTTACGAAAGAAGAGGATGGGCTCTTTTGATTTCATGAAGAGACTCCAACTCGGGCTGAGCCAAGAATGAAGGGTACAGGGAGGCTACTGGGGTGGATAGTGGAAAAAAAAAAAGGGCTTTAATCAAAAAAAAAAAAATTTATAGAAGCTGGGCTTGGGCAGCCCACCCCTATCTCCGCCATTTCTCCAACTTGTGCCAAATGTCCAAGATTCAGGGGCAGCATAGGCAGCTAGTCCACTAAGCTATGTCGCTAAAAAAGTGTACAAATCAAATTTTAAGTGAATTTGTGATATATTTTAATCCTTGAACTCATTACAGTTATCTATGTTATATTATAACTGTATTAATTACGTATCATTTTCTCCATCCATGAAAACTAGACGAACATAAAAAGTTTATGTCTCATTATAAATATGGCTTGTTTAGCATGCTCGAGCAAACAATTATGTACAAAACGACAATCAAAATATTTTAAACGTATTTCATCAATATTCGTGTTAAATACACACCAAACGCACCTATACCTATAGGTGTTGAGAAGTTGAGGGCCCTTGGGAGTTGGGTGATGGTCCAAGCAAGGACACCTAGAGCAAACCTCCTAATTAATTTTTGTATATTATATTTGCTAAAATCTAAGGTCATGGGGTTGGGTGAGATTTTTTTTTAAAAAAAACCAGCACCAAACTCAATATTTATGTTTTGAAAAAAGCTAGTTTTATCTCGTTGGGATTTCAAATGTACATAATTTTAAGATTAAGATATGAATACAATATTTTTAATGAGTAGAATTAGGTGGGATAATTTTCAATGTTTTTGTATGTTGTATCATTCATGACTTTTTCCTACCATTTTACTTTTATATGTATTTCTTTTGTGTAGTCTTTCGTATCAAAGTTTAGTTGAGACAAAAAACATTAAGTTATATATTGATATTGATTCTTTCAATTGTTACGGCGAATTTAGAAAAAGTTACAAGAATCAACTGCAATATCGGTTGATATTTATGGATGAATAAATGTTTAATCTTATATATTGAGAAGGATATTTTTATTATATTGCCAATGAGGTCAATTTATACTTTTTTATTTTTCTATTACTACGTTATTTTAAAATTTATATTATAATAATTTTTAATTGTTATTTTCTTAATGATGGACTTTTCCATCAAGGATTTTGCAGAGAGAAATCTTCAATGCCTCACATTGTTAAATGCTACCAAAGAACCAATAGAAGTTAAGGAGATTGAACCACCCGGAAGAATTTTAAGGCAAACTACGCAGTATATGTGATTACAGCATATTTATCAAGTCTCAACTTAACATTATAGAAGGAATTGCTTAATAAATCTGTTTTAGGCAATAAATGCAGATAATACAATGGCAAAATTTCTTATATACTACTAGCAGGACACTACATTATGCCTTTTGAACTGAAAACCCAAGAATAAAGTCCTTGAATTCATTACTTGATGCCTTTTCAAGGGCACTCCGGCCTTCTGAATCTTTTGACAGTGTAATCAGCGCCCGCTCTAAGCAATTCTTCAATCTTCGGCTTGTCACCCTCTGAGGCAGCCATCATCAGCAAGATGTCCACTGGGTGGATGTTTTGGTTCAAAAGAGCCTCCATCTTATCATATGTACCCTCCACAGGTAGCATGCCCATATAATTGTACTGTTAAAATAGATATAGTTGTCGTCAAACTTCTTCCAGTTCATAGATAACTCATTAGATAGAACCAAAATCACAACTAAATATCGTAGCTATCAATTACAATGGTAACTTATTAAATATGGTAACTTTCTTTATATTCCACTGACGTCCCTCTCACATTCCCCTCAAATTGATGCTTCAATTTGCAATCATGAACTAACAGCATTGTCGAGTTATCGTTTTCATAGAACACAAAAACCAAGAACTCAACCTTGCTCAACTTCAAACCTAAGAACCTATTCAAAATTTGATATGATTCCTCGCATAGAATCAAAGTCCGACCAGAAAATGATGATGCTAACAAATCATCCCTAAAACACCAAATGCTCAACCACACTTGATGCACCGAAGAATCATATGTTGACAAAAATTATGTCAATAGTCAACTACCACAAGAGTCACACGTTGACAAAAATTTTGTCAACCACGAACCATCACAAGAAACGCACACTTGAGAGGCAGAATTATGACCAAGGAAAATCGAGAATTCAACCATTCCAAAGCCACTCCAAAACCACTCTAGAGAGCTCACACCCTAATAAGAATTTTCAAAAGAAATTCATGAAGTATGCCAACCACACACAGTAAGCTCTATCAGTCATGAGAACTCAATCAAACATATAATTTGTGTTTCGACAAAAGCTCTAACATCTAATTTACCAGCAAAAAATCCAGCAATATATCGCTGGTTAAGATGTTGCAGTTGAAGAAATAACATAGAACAATGTACTCCAAAAACCCAAAATGATCCTACTATGAGAATCCAAGATAAAATAAAGTAGCAAACCCAACAGAATTTGTATATGTCCCTTTTCTCGCCCTCTTACTCTTCTTCAAGCTTTCATCATCAAACTCATTCCTATCATCAAGCACATCCTCGGCTTCTTCCGATCCCCTTCGTGCACACTCACCATTACTGGTATTGTTATCAATGGCAATTAAATAGGCACCTTATCATCATCATTACTACCAAAAGCCTCATTGTATTCAGGAACTACAATTTCAAACCCACGTGACTCTAGATCCTTCTCCAACTTCAAAAACTCCTCGTGTAACCCAAAAACCACCATCCTATTCCCCGAAAAACGCTCCATTGACGAACCGACCTCGTAAGCAACCATCGCTAACAACACATCCCCATCTTTCTCGTCATAATGTACTCCTGTTTCTCTCTTCAGCATCAATTCCCTGCCCATCTTCAACAACTCATCAAAACAAATTTATTAAGAGGGTATATTTAATTGGAACTTTTATTGACTTTTTTAAGTGATGACTTCTGTAGATTTGAATTTTTTATAGATTAGTATGGAATTAATGGAAATCTATTGTCGACTTCTATAAGCTTTCATTTCAAAACTTTCATAAACTTTTATAGAATTCAAGAAACTTTTGAAAACTTTCATTTGAAATAGAATTCATGTGAATATAGTGTAATAATATGAAATTCTCACATACGATGTGGTGATTCTCACAATTTCCTTCTCCTTCCCATATAATAAAAAATATTTAAGAAGAAATAAAAATTTAAGACCTTAATTAAATAAATTTAATATTTAGTATTACTAATATAACATACATTTAAAGAATAAATAAAAAATAAAAAATTTTAATGTTAATTTTAATCTATATAACATTTAATAATTTAATTAAAAATAAATATTTTTCACAAAAAAAAAAAAAAAAAGGAAAGAAATTTACTAATCCCCACAACAAGGAGAACCCACTGTTTCTTCTCACGACCCCGTGAAATCCCCAGAATCTGATCGTGAAATCCCCAGAAATAGAATATTCTGATCTTAAAATCACCAAAATTTGCTCTTGTAAACACCAGAATCTGATATTCACGTCGGGTATCCTTGAGTTTCGAACTCCGTCAAATAGAAAGGATGAAGCCAAAATCGCCCGAATGAAGCCAATTGATGACTCAGTCGACCAGATATCGGTCGACCCAAAATCTTAGAACGAGAACAACCCAGAAAGCTTGAAAACCCTTAGCAATGAAAGGAATCCCAGCAAAGAAATCAGAGTACACCAACGGCAAAAAGAAAATCGAAGAATACATACAGAAGGGAGCAGGGGCGAACACATAGGGGACACAATCGAAGTTGCGAAAAAGTTGGGAGAAATTTTACAATCGAAAACTTATGTCCAAAAAAAATCATACCCCATGTAATTTTACATCCAAAATTTTACATGAAATATGACTTTTTCAGATATAAAATTTCGAAATTTTTTGATATCATATTTCATATAAAATTTTTTAATAAAATGATGAAAAATACATTAAGAATTTTGTATCGCAAAAATAATAAATATTAATGAAATAATTGAATTTTTTTTTAAAAAAAAAATGCAAGTTAGACGTCTCTATTTAAAAATCACGTTAAACTATTTTCAATATCTGTTTGGACTATTCGATATGCCCACAATATAGTTCTCGAAATAAGCTTTAAGATGACATAAACAATTTGTAGATTCGATTAGTATACGATTATTTGAGAATTTTTAAAGCTTGTTATCGAAATTCAAATTTATTGTGATTTTACCCTTATTTGGTGGAAATTAAAATCAATTTTTTAGTAAATTTTGATAAAAGTTAAATAGTTATGGATTCCATGAAATAGGTTATTAGAATTAATTGTTAACTTTGATTTAAATTAATATTTAAATTTCAATCNAAATAAATATTAAAATTTAAATCAAAACAAAACAAAAATTAAAAAAAAAAAAAAAAAAAATCAAAAGTTGGGGGGTCCTAGGTCCGCCCCTAGAAGGGAGGAAGAAGAGTGGACGAGCTTTGCTCTTCCTGCCGTGAGAAAACCAACCAAGAAAACAAGAGAAAAACCAAAAATAGAGGCTCTAATACTGTCCAATATACTCAATGATGATAACTTGATATGTGAGAAGTTCTAGTTATTTAGAACCGAAATCACTACTAAATATGATAGCTATTAATTACAATGGTAACCTATAGCTTTTGAACTTTCCTTGTATTCCACTTACGCGAACATATAGTAGATGAGAAGTTGGCAATGGATTCTCCTGATTTTGCCAAATATTTGTTGCGTTCAACATAAAATGATTAGTACTAAAGCAAAACTCCAATTTACTTGACAATTGTCTACCATTTCATTATGGCTTCCGTGGTTGAACTAACTATTCTGCTAAAAAAGAAAAATCTTTCCAATTCAAACTCGAGGAAAATTCTATCTTTGCTAATGAATATATCTCAGATATCCACATCACCAAAAACAAATTAATACAGAGGATTCATTTACATGAAAACTTAACTAGCCAGCAATTTCAAATTCCTAGAATGGATATGGATAAGTGATCACCTGTTCAACATCGTCGCTGTCAAAATCATCAAGGGTCTGGCTACAGTAAATTCCAGCACCTTCTGCATCAACACCATTCCCAAATCTGAACCAGCATGTGGTTCTTGAACCTGAGCATGGGCAAATTTTGGTTGTGGGTCTGCACCATCCTAGAGTTTTAAAGGTCATGGGGTTGGGTGAGATTTAAAAAAAAAAAAAAAAACCTGCACCAAACTCAATATTTATGTTTTGAAAAAAGCTAGTTTTATCTCGTTGGGATTTCAAATGTACATAATTTTAAGATTAAGATATGAATACAATATTTTTAATGAGTAGAATTAGGTGGGACAATTTTCAATGTTTTTGTATGTTGTATCATTCATGACTTTTTCCTACCATTTTACTTTTATATGAATTTCTTTTGTGTACTCTTTCGTATCAAAGTTTAGTTGAGACAAAAAACATTAAGTTATATATTGATATTGATTCTTTCAATTGTTACTGCGAATTTAGAAAAGGTTGCAAGAATCAACTGCAATATCGGTTGATATTTATGGATGAATAAATGTTTAATCTTATATATTGAGAAGGATATTTTTATTATATTGCCAATGAGGTCAATTTATACTTTTTTATTTTTCTATTACTACCTTATTTGAAAATTTATATTATAATAATTTTTAATTGTTATTTTCTTATTGATGGACTTTTCCATCAAGGATTTTGCAGAGAGAAATCTTCAATGCCTCACATTGTTAAATGCTACCAAAGTACCAATAGAAGTTAAGGAGATTGAACCACCCGGAAGAATTTTAAGGCAAACTACGCTGTGTATGTGATTACAGCATATTTATCAAGTCTCAACAAAGTAATGGGCAACTTAGGGTTGTTCTTTTCAGTTTCGTGTTTTGAGTTTTCAATTCATTTTGAAAACACACAAAACGCGCGTTAAAATTTTTGGCTTGATTATAACTGAAAACACCAAAAACGACAAATTTGTCATTTTGAGTTTTCTTTGTAAATTTTTAACTTGTTTTCAAAAACATGTTTTCACTGTTTTGGAAAATCGAAAACAGAAAACGGCTTAAAAATGGTAAAGAGAATGGACCCTTAGTTTCTATGATATTCGAATAGTCAAGGGAGACATGCTTGTCCGTTACTCCTATCTGAATGTTTCCTTTTCAATTATATCACCAAGGTCATATTACATTGATTAAAAATGTGTATAGTCCATTCCTCTTACCGGGTTCTATTGACACTCAACATCATGGTTCTGGGTTAAGAAACTGGGATTTATTGGAGCAAGGACAAAATCCAGACGTGGGAAGACGACATCACAAGGTTAGCAACAAAAGAAATTGCAGTGCCAACTTAACATTATAGAAAGAATTGCTTAATAGATCTGTTTGAGGCAATAAATGCAGATAATACAATGGCAAAACTTCTTTATACTACTATCAGGACACTACATTATGCCTTTTGAACTGAAAACCTAAGAGTAAAGTCCTTGATTTCATCACTTGCTGCCTTTTCAAGGGCACTCCGGCCTTCTGAATCTTTAACAGTGTAATCAGCGCTCGCTCTAAGCAATTCTTCCATCTTCAGCTTGTCACCCTATGAGGCAGCCATCATCAGCAAGATGTCCACTGGGTGGATGTTTTGGTTCAAAAGAGCCTCCATCTTATCATATGTACCCTCCACAGCTAGCATGCCCATATAATTGAAGTACTGTTTAAAATAGATATAGTTGTTGTCAAACTTCTTCCAGTTCATAGATAAGTCATTAGATAGAATCGAAGTCACAACTAAATATAGTAGCTATCAATTACAATGGTAACTTATTAAATATGGTAACTTTCTTTATATTCCACCAACGTCCCTCTCACATTCCCCTCAAATTGATGTTCAATTTGCAATCATAAACTAATGGCGTTGTCGAGTTATCGTTTTCATAGAACCCAGAAACCAAGAACTCAACCTTGCTCAAGTTCAAACCTAAGAACCTATTCAAAATTCGATATGATTACCGGCAAAGAATCAAAGTCCGACCAGAAACGGATGATGCTAACAATCATCCTTAAAACATCAAATGCTCACACCACACTTGATGCACCGAAAAGTCATACGTGACAAAAATTATGTCAACTGCGAACTTACAAGAAACCCACACTTGAGAGGCTGAGTTATGACCAAGGAAAATCGAGGATTCAACCACTCCAAAGAGATCACACCCCAAGAAGAATTTTTAAAAAAAATTCAAGAAGTATGCCAACCACACATAGTAGGCTCTATCAGTAGGGAGAACTCAATCAAACATATAATTTGTGTTTCAACAAAAGCTCTGACAGCCAATTTACCTACGAAAAATCCAACAATATATCGCTGGTTAAGATGCTACAGTTGGAAGAAATAACATAGAACAACGTACTCCAAAAACCCAAAATGATCCTACTATGAGAATCCAAGATAAATTGAAGTAGCAAGCCCAACAAAATTTGTATATGTCGCTTTTCTCGCCCTCTTACTCTTCTTCAAGCTTTCATCATCAAACTCATTCCTATCATCATGCACATCCTCGGCTTCTTCTGATCCCCTCGATGCACACTCACCATTACCAGTATTGTTATCGATGGCAATTAAATGAGGCACCTCATAATCATCATTACTACCAAAAGCCTTATTGTATTCAGGAACTACAATTTCAAACCCACACGACTCTAGATCCTTCTCCAACTTCAAGAACGAAGTACATTGAATTAGATTGTCATCTAGTGTGTGACAAGATACAAGAAGGAAGCATAATTACAAAATACGTGAGAACTGGTTCACAAATTGCTGACATTTTTATTAAGCCCCTCTGTTCAGACATCTTCCATTCACATTTGTCCAAGATGGGAGTAGAAAACATCTACTCTCCATCTTGAGGGGGGCTGTTGAAGTCCAAGATCGTGAGCAAGGAAGGAGCTAGAAGAATGTAGAGTGTGCTGGAATGGAAGTTACTGCCACTTGCTACAACGAGTTAGAATAGATTCCAAATTCAATTGTAGTGCTAATGTATAATAGATTTTGGTTTTGCCACTTGTACAAAGTTGTTATAAGTTGTGTGTATATATATTCTTGTAACCAGGGACGGATGGAGGGGGGGCTGTCCTCCAACTGATTTTTTTTTTTAGTTAGAAAAAAAAAATCATGTGTGATTTTATTTTATTTTTACGTATTAGCTCAGCCTGTAATCTGCTCCTGGATCCGTCCTGCTGCTGCTTGTAACCTTCTTCCCAATTCATCAATATAGAAACACGGCAGAACGTTTTCCTCAGCTCTTTTCATTCAGAATTTGATTCAATATAGTTTGTTTAATTGATAATAATCACTTAGTTGATTTTCTTATATCTTGAACCTGAACTTGAGCCAAGTTTGGTTGTGGGTCTGCACCATCCGAGAAATTTAGTTGCTGACTTACCCAGAAACTTAGAATTGAGCTTGGAAAAACGTGCAGTAGAACCATTTGAAGAAGATGAAGAATACTTAGTGGGTCTTGATGAAAAGCATGATAGCTGAAGAGTACTTGGAATCGTGGCTATTCTTCGGTTTCAAGCGCACACAAAACCAGTAGCTGCCTTCATTGGCAGGAGCGTGCCTCTAGTAAGAATATATAAGTTTGAAGACACTTGTTGAACAACAAATCAGAGTGGCGCAGCGGAAGCGTGGTGGGCCCATAACCCACAGGTCCCAGGATCGAAACCTGGCTCTGATAAGAGAGCAAGCTTCTCTTCCCACTCATCTTTTTTTATAAATTAGATTTTCTTCTGATTAAATTAAGGATTTTCATGAGATATTTTTCATTTGGTAATTAATTAAAATAAACCTTTGTTGAACCAAAAAATTTAAGATATTTATAGAAATAAAACAACAGATTATTGTGCCTTTTTAAATCGAGAAAATAATTTAAGTTCTAGTTTTATCAAATATTGAGTATTCAATTAATCTAGAGATGGCTCCTATCATTTCTCTACTTTTCTAAGATATTTTCTATTGCTAAATGGCAAATGATGTGATTTTATTTAGGATGATGGAAACTTAACTATACTTGCAAATCACCAATCATCAATATAGCTTTCAAAATTATGAATTAATTAATAAGGATAAATAATTAGAAGGACAAATAGAAAAGCACTTATTTTGGAAAATTAGAAATACTACTAATTGTTTCTCCGTATTGAACATACATAAAAGTGTTCGAGTACTCTTGGATGATGCCCCTACCAATACAAGATGCAAAACCAGAACCCTTCACAGCTTCACTTTTACTTCTACCCTACACAAGACACTGTACAAATTCAATGGAGTTGGCTTTACAATTCTAGAGCAAAAGGCTTGAAATTTTATCCTGTTGAGGTAGGCATTGTTGGATCTCCGTATGCAAGAAATGGAGTAGTTTAGCAGGCTAGAATTATGCTCTCTGTGACCTGGCTTCTTCAAAACTTAAGCTTGCATCGATGGTTGTTGTTAAGAACCTAGCACATGTTATATTGTGGAGGTTGCAGCGAGCAATCGGGCCAATCACACTTTCTGGATTCACTTGGCTGAACTTGGAAGGTTGCATTATTAGACAGCGCTCTCAGATAATTTCGAGAAACCAAGCTTCTTTAAACGGTTTCGTATAGGGTTTGCCCAGGTACTGTCCGGATTGCCACATGTTATGTCCACGATTTCGACTATGCCAGGTCCCTTTTTGACAGGTTTTTGCCTCATAGGAGTTCCATCCATGGGTACATTATCAGCTTTGAGCATTGGAATTCGATGAGTTTTTCCAGTGTGTTTTTTCCATGTAACTTCAGGGGCTTCATGATTTTGGTCGCTGCTGCTTGCTTCACCCACTGACATTATAGATTTTGACCTTCTCGGAATGCTGTCACCGGAGCATACTGAGGAAGAAACTGGAGGAGAAACATTTCCAAACGACATTGGAATCTGAGATGCAAATTTCCAGGATTCTAATTCCTTAGACATGAGAGCACTGATTGTTCCGGTGCTTCCTACTTTAATGGATCCTCCACCACCCTTGATAGCTTCTAATGTCTGAACCATAGCTTTCCCGTCTGCATGTAAAGACCAAAATGCCCTTTTAAATTTTTACAGGTGAACTTGTTTACTTTTTAAGCTAATTCAAACAGATGCTGGATCAAATCAGTTCAGGAAGTGTCAGCAAGCACACAAATGTAACAATTGTACATTACATATCAAAATTTTAGCATTATGCAAGCTCATCAGAATTGTCAATCTATCAAGGGACCTCCAGTCTAAGATAAAGCAGAGAATAAATAAATTTGTTCACCATGCATGTTTGGGGAGTTTGGATAAGTGAGGTAGTACTTGTGGGTCCTCAAAATTTGTGATAGAAAGTGGCAGTAAATCACTTGGAACATAGAGCAGTGGATAAAGCCAATGCTCATAGTTGACATTGCAGAAGCACTAATGTATAAATTAGTGACTTTTTTAGCCACAAAATACTATACAAACTAGTGATTTACTGGTAAATTATGCGATCATGAAAAATCGTATAACTACTTGTACTATATATACATGAAAGGACCAAGCCGAGTTAGGACTTTGGTTCTATAATCACAAGCCGCAGTTAGACTCTGCTTTGTCAATCATCTCTATTCAGCTCCAGTCATTATACAGATTCATGTACTGTAAAAGCTATCAATTAACATTAAAAAGATTTTCACTTCCTTTTTGTGAATGCAAACTGTTTAAGGAAGCAAATCGAGGGCGACAACACGTATAAAAAGGGGCCAATCACATCATAAGCCAGGAACCAGACAACCCAAAAGGCAGGCATATGGGCGAGGTGCCAAGTTATTGGCTCCTAAACACGCACAATAATATAAAACAGAGAATACTTTTAAGAAAGGAAGCACAATCTTGTTAAAAGTCAAAGTAATATGCAATCTTCAGAAGCATTCAAAGACACTGGAGACCACAACATTGCTTGGAACAAGAAGTCTACACATTGGAAGTAGAAGTCTTGACATGAGAATCTAAAGGGCTTCATCTTCCTTAAATGTTGGTTTAATTATTTGTAATCTTTCCTTGCCTCTAGAATTGTCCATGGCTGCCTATTTAAGAAACACATGATCGTAGCGTTTTGAAATCACAGGTGAAGTAAGAAAAAACAAACATAAAAATAACGAATCTTACACACTCAAGTTCGCAAACTCGCACTAAAAATTAAGCACTTTTATCTTAAAAACTCCGTCCTAACTTAGGCATGGAGCATGTTCTGTCACCACATCACCATCTAGGCAACCGGCCGGGACAAACACAGCTTTTCATATAGAGTAGACTCTCAGCAAATAGTTTAATTCAAGATTATTTACAGGTGCAATTAGCACTACTACTTAATTAACGTAGCAACAAAGAAGGTAGACGGAATCTTGGGCATCAAATTGACAAGAATCTAATTATAAGCAAAGAATATGAAAGTTGAATAGAACATAGATCAAAATCCAATAACAAGACATCATAAAGATTGATAAAAAATAAAAAGTAATAACACACCAACGATTGACCCAAAATACAAAAAATCCCATCAA